ACAGTGTGGCCCACACTGGTGACAGGCGCTCCGCAGCCCTGACTTCAGTCTGACGCAATTCACTCACGTGACAAAAATCACTGCACCCCCTGAATTTTTTGAAACTAAAAAAAAGGAGGAGGAAGAGTAGTCTGAGTATGCTGCTGAAGGGCTGGGCTCCGTCGCATTAGGAGGTGACACCAGGGGACCAGGACGGCACCGTCTACAAGCGACTCCCAGCTTGGCTCCGTCTGGGTGACCAGGAGCGGCCCCGCCATGTCCAGTCTCCCCCTCATAGTGGACCCGGAGTCCCGGCACCATCACTACCCCTGGAGTCGCCCCAGCTGCCTGGTGTGTGATGACAAGATGCCACGTGACGCTGCAGCCACACTGGCACACGTGCGATCACGGCCCACGTGGAGACACGGGAGCCCGGGGTGTCTCAGCCCGAGCACCGCGCACGCTCGGCCCCTGGGAGGCATCCTGCGCACTACAGAGCCACATGTGGCCTGCGCGGTGCCGGGGAACAGAAGAGGGACGTGGCTAACCACCACAGAACCTAAAGCCGACGTGTGTGTGAGTGTTCTTGGTGCCAGGCGTGGCTGATGCATCCCTGGGCACTGCTATGAGTCTCTTTTCACCGGAAACTTTCGTGAGAAACACGAGTGCTGACGCAAAACCACACACAGCCACGCATACACGGAATTCCAGCTCTACCTTCCCTGCGTGTACGCGACTCAGAAATCCACTTGCGCATGGCGGCGCGCCAGCCATGGGGGCGCCTGGGAGTCCTGGGGCGGGGTGTGCGGGGGGCTCACCTCTTTGTCCATACTCTCTAAATCCTCCTTACACAGAGTGTACAGCGGCATTGTCTCTGACATACTGGGCTGTCGCCTCCTCCTAGCGGGGCCAGGCTGCTCTCCATCTCGAGCCTCGGGCAGCTCCTCACCAAACATCTGCTGCTGATGTGGCTGAACAGCTCTGAAATGAATTTTATAGGTGCCACATGAGGAAAAGCAGTTGGAATCGCGCTTCTCAGACTGAATCAGATTCCTGACTCTAGGACTAGGCAAACACACACACACGCACACACACACACGCACACGCACACACGCACGCACGCACGCACGCACGTTTCAGTTGTGCAGAAACACGGCACTGTTGCCAGTGCCTGCTTGCAGCGCTTTGTCAACATGTAGTTACTGTGTCATGTTTCCGCTGGCTGGGCCAGGCTGGTGACAAGCCCTGCCGGTACTCATTCCTGCGTAAAGATGACACCTACTTTCTTTTATCAACCAACCACCGCTGCCCGCAGGGCATCTGCGCAGCTCTATGCATCCCTTAGCGAAGCTCAAATGTGAAGGGAGAGGGACAGCTCCCAGAAACCATGATGAAGTGTCATTTACCCTCAAGATAAGTCAAGAGGGTTATAAAACATCAGACAAATAAGGCAACATTGATATCCTAGCCCAGCTACACACACACACACACACACACACACACACACACACGATGGTGAATTTGTGAAACAGACTTCTGTACGCTGATGTGAAATCACTTGTTCATAAAGAATGGGAAAAGATAACTCAGCATTCTGTGTGTGTGGCTTTATTAAACTATCATGTCTTACTGTGATAAATTAACTAGCAGACACCAGGCTTCTGTTCCGAGGACACTTGTGCTGCCCTGACTGCCTGCTGTGCTGGCATCACACTTCTGTCCGAAGCAGCCTCTTCCCTCTGCACACCCCCGGCTACGCTGATCTAGACGGGTGGGTCTGGCTAAGCATGTGTTCCTCATGCCACGACTGTAGGGGTGGGGCTAGTCTGTGGAACTGGGTGTGTCCTCCCACGGCCACGTGGGGGGTGGGACCTTCCCTGGGGACGCCAGCCCGAGGCCCGGAGGTTTCTGGCTGACACGGGACCACAGGTGTCCTCATAACAGACCCTGAAGAGAGGGGATAAAACCTTATTATCGGGAAGGAAAATAGGGGCATTAAGTCAAAGTCACTGTATTAGGCGAGCCCAGTATTATCTAATGGAGGTGAGATTTCCCGCACAGACAGCTCATCTGGGAGTTAAGGCGTCACAACTCTGCCCTGTCCTCAGGCCCGCCAGCCGTGGCTGACCACGCCAAGCCAGCTCATATGCAGCTCCAGCTGTGAACACGGGGAAAGCTGAGGAAAGGGTAAGTATTTTTTTTTTATCAAAAACAAATATATCATAGTCCCCCATCAGAAAAGTTGTTCTTAATAGTTTTAACCCAAAATGGAACGCAATCACAGGAACACCCTCTCTGCTGGAAGCTGACGGGAGGGAGAGGAATGCTCAGTCTTCAACGGAGAACGGGCCCTCCAACACCTGAGTGGGCCCGTGGGGGCAGGAGACTGCTCTGGGGTGCTGGCCACCAGGTGGGCAAGTGACCCCCCCAAATCACATTTCCCTTCCACTTGTAAGATGGTATGTGTGGGTCAGTCGCCAAATCCAGCGCTCTCCAAGTCCCCTCTCAGTGGGGAGTGGGGGGTGGGGGCAGAGCCTTTGTGCGTTTCCACCAAAATAGCAAAATAAAAACACGATAAACTGACTGCTCAGCCAGACAGAATCACAAGTATGTATATAAGACAAAGTCACTCTTCTCATTAGAGTTCTTTACAATTTGGAAAACAGTTATTTTTATTTTTTTAAAAAAGTTAATTATATCCACAAGCAATGGTTCAATGCAGTTAGCCTCAGAACCCACAGGGACCTGGTCCAGGGGCCCCTCAGATACCACAGTCTGCACCCACCCGAGTCCCCCAGTCAGCCCTGCACGTGTGCGGGTCTCTCATCTCGCGAAGACTGCGTCTTTGCATTTTTGATCGGTTGGTTGGAAGAGTCCGTGGATAGGTGGACTCACGCAGCGTAACCTGTGTTGTTACACCTGTATTATTATGGCAAGATGAATTAACAAATGGATATTCAGAAAATCTCTCTGACAGTGACCCCTCCACTCCAGCCAACAGCAGCACGGGCCCAGCAGTCCCACGCCCCACGCTTGGGACTCGGAGGTGGTCGGGGCCACGTGGGGAGCCTGATGCCCACCCACGGGCAGGCACAGGGTGGTGGCGCCAGCTCTGCGTGGAGCGGTGTCAGAGAGAGTCGGTCGAGACAGACTCCCCTGACGGGACGTCAAAGTGCCCCAGCTTCAGTCGAGAGTCACGTCCCGCTGAGACCTGGGAGGTTCCACAGAGCAGGCAGAGGCAGCGCAGGGCGACCCGAGCAGGCGGAGATGCCAAATGCGCCACCAGCAACGGCAACAGAGAAACGGTGGAAACACGGAGCCTCAGCAGAGAAACAGAGTTGTGAAGAACCACAGGGAAGATTTAGAACTGGAAAACATAAAAGCTAAAACAAGGAAGTGCAATGACGATTTCCACAGCAAAACACAGGATACGGAGGAAAAATAATGTCAGTGAGGAGCTAACAGAAATCACCGTATCTCAACAACAGAGGGAAAATGGTCATAAAAAAGGAAAAATGAACGCAGCCTGAGGAACGTGTGAGACAACAGAAGATGCCACACGCACCTCTCTGGAGTCTCACAACAGGCAGAGGTGACCCTCAAGAATAACAGCTGGAAATGTCCCAGATTTGGCAAAAGACATAAACCTTCCAATTTGAGAAGCCGAGTGAAACCCAAACAAGGTAAACCCCCAAATCCACACCAAGACACATCATGAGCTTCTGGTTAAAGACAAAGAGACAGCAGCTTCCTCATCAAAAACCATGGAGTTCAGAACGAAGATGGGACATTTTTCAGGCACTAAAGAAAAAAGAACCAGATCAACCCAGATTCTGCCCAGTAAAAATATCCTCAGAAATGAAGGGACCCAGAGACTCGGCCAGCAGCAGGTGTGCCAGGGTGCAAGGAGCTCGAGCAGTGAGGGTGAAAAGTCCGGAGGGGGCCCTTCTGTTAGGAAGGAAGCAAGAATACAGGAAAAATATTACGGATTTTCCTCCTCCTTTTGAGTTTTCTAAATTATGTTTGATTGTTGAAGCAAAAAATTGTAAGAAATATACCCAAAGTAAGCAGAAGGAAGATAAAGATAATAAATTAATGAAGTTGAAAATAAAAAAATAGAGAAAAAATATCAATGAAATAAATAACTTTGAAAACAATCAGTAAAGTTGACAAAGCTCTAGCAAGATGGACAGAGTAAAAACATGTTGGGAAAATATAATTGAGGAATTAATGAAATGTGGCTCATAAGATCATTGTTTTGTTTTATAACCTAATATTACTATATTAAAGACAGAAACAGGAGTTTGCAGGGTTTTGCCCTGAAGGAATGTGTGGACTCAATGGTTCACTTACTAGAGGCTGCTATCATGGGAGAGCTCTCAGATCTCCAGTAGGGATGTTTTCCATGAAGGCTTCCTGGTATCTCAAAATCTGTGAGCTTCCCTGTGTCTTAAAAGACAAGACAAGGCAAACATGGCCCACAGGATGGGAGCCAGAGACAATGAGTACGCTTTGCCCAGAGAAGCGCCCCGGTGGTTATAAACCACCTATTTTATTAGAGATGGGCTACCTGTTCTCTCCTGTCTGTCTACCTTTAAGTCCACCATAACTAATCAAAGAAATATAGAGTCACTATATCTCTTTTGTTTTACCTTTGTTAACTGACAACTACCTCTTTAGAAGTTAGCTCCTGAAAGACTTTGTACCTGTTTGTTCACCTGGATAGATTAGAAGCCCCTTGAGAGGACTTCTGACCCTAACCTACTACCTGTATCCCTTAGCAACTGCATTCCCTGATATGCAAATATGTTACCCTGACAACTGGTAATTGATATCCGTGATTATAAAAACCTATATGCATCTAACCATATTGCTGGCATGATGTAGACACACCAGTCCCCTAGGAACTTCCCGCTGTGTTATACCTGATCTTTATTTATATTTATATATATATACATATGTATAAACATATATACATATATGTTTATAGTTTTTATATATATATATGAACTATACCTTAGTCTCTGTGTATTCTTTTATTTCTCTCTGTTGCCTATCAATTTCCTTATCCTCTGTGGCGACTCCTATCTTAGGGACCTGGCTCCGTGGGGAGGTAGCTAATCTCCTCTCGGGCCTGCCTCAACTACTTTTGCCCCGCAAAAACAGAAGAAACAAGTCACGGACATCAGGAATGAAGGAGGCCCCCATACAGACGGTGAGGACAAGGGAAAACCACAAACCACCCCACCCGGGGAGGGGCTGGACGAAGACAGAACAAAACACAGAAACAGAGACCCACTGTCAACAACAACACGAAGAAAAATACATAACAAAAATGTATGAAAATCATCGCACACCACAAACGCACAAGCTTTATTTAAGGGTTGCAAGGTTGTTTCAATGGTCAAAAACCAATGTCATCCACCATGTGTTAACAGGGTAAAGAAGAAAAATCACATGATCTTATCAATCAACACACAGAGAACAGGAATAGAGGGGGCCTTCCTCAACTTGATAAAGACCATTACAAATGACCTACAGCTGACGTCATCCTCAGAGACGGAAGACACGCTTTCACTGCAAGAGTAAGAAAAGGGCAAAAATGTCCACAGAACGGAGGAACAGCCCAGAAACACGCACAGCCCCAGCTGCTTTCTGGCAGCGTTGCGGGAGGTCAAGGATGGGAACCCGGCACGTTCCCACAGAAGGGCTGGAGCCAGAGATGGGCCTCAGCCCAAGCCGCACGCCCTGCACAGAGATTAACTGAACATGGATCACCAAGGATTAAATGTAAAACCATGAAACTCTTAAGAGTTTCAGAATAATGAGTTTTCAGAATAAAGCTTCTGAGAAAATTTTTGGGATCTAGGACTAGATTGACGATTAATAGCTTCCACACCAAAGTACAATTCCTAAACGAAAAAATTGGTAAATAGAACCTCATGAAAATTAAGAGCTTTTGCTTTGCTCAAGATCCTCCTAAGAGAATGAAAAATAAGCTATGGATTGGGAGAAAATATGTACAAGCCACAAACCCAACTAGCAACTAGTATCAAAATATCAAAGGAACTCTCAAAATCAACAGTAAAAACCAAAGAATCCCACCAGAAAATGGGCAGAATACACAAACAGCCATTCTACTGAACGGGATATGCAGACGAGGAATAAACACACGAAAGATGTTCCACATCATCATTCAACAAGCACATGCAAGTCTAGGTCATCACGAGATCATTACACCCGATCAGAATGACGCACACGAAACACTGACACCCCCAACGGGAGCTCCCGTGCACTGCTGCTGTGAGTGGGAAATGCTACCGAGGTTCCAGAAAACAGTGTGACAGTTTCTCATAAAGACGGGACACACACCACGTAACTCAGCAATCTAACCGCGGGCACACATCCCAGAGAAATGAAAACTTCCCTTACCAAAAACACATGGGACCAGAAGTACTTTCGGTTTTGGAATATTTGCATTATAGGTTTTGACTGACCATCCAAAATCCAAAATCCAAACTGCTACAATGAGTGTTTCCCTTGAGCGTCATGTTGGTGTTTAAAAAGTTCTGAGTCTGGGGGCACTGTGGATTTTGGATTTTGAGACGACACGCTCCACCTGTACAAATGTTCACAGGAAAAGCAGGACACGACTCCAGCGTGCTTGCCGGGTGAACAGTTAAACGACGATGACTCATCCACACACCACGGACGACTGCTCAGCGGTAAAAAGCAACTGGGTGCTGACACAGCAGCAGCCTGGCTGACCCTCAGGGGATGGTGCTGAGTGAAGAGCCAACTCCAGAAAGTTCCGCTGTCTGTGGCCCATGTTTACATCGTCTTGACACAACTGCAGGGACAGAGAACAGGCTGGTGGCTGCTGGGGGAGAGGGAGGAGGTGGCCAGGAGGGCAGTGGAGGTGGCAGGGGTGCAGGGGGTGCCCTGGCGTGGGGTGCTGTGTCTGGGCACGGGGGTGTCAGGCTGTGCTGCAGTTTTGCGGCTTTTACCAGCTGCAGAAACTAGGTACAGGGACCGATGATCTATTTGTATCACTTCTTCAACTGCAGGTACATCTACAAAGATCTCAGGAAGTTTTATCAAAAACATCATGTGCTCACAGTTAGCGGCACGCAGCTGCCCTGGCAGGGATGCACATTCTGACTGGTGGTGGTGCAGGCAGTGTGCCCCCCACCCCACCGGTTCTTCCAGGGGATGCCACGCCTGGGGACCTCACACACTCTTGCCGGGGCTCCCGTTGCCAGCACCGCCTCAGGGAGCCAAGGGTGGGAGGAGTGGCCTCCTCCTCGTGGCTGAGGGGACCACGCCTCTCCAGGGCTGGGGCACTCTGAGTCGGGCCGGTGGATGGCTGCCCCGCCAACCGGCAGCGTTCTCTGGGCCTGCGCGAGGGCGTCTAGGCGACCGCAGCCTTGCCTGGTGCATTGCTTGCTGGCCCACGCGGACGTCGCAGGGAGACCCCCACACACCTGTCCACCAGAGCAGCGCCCTGGCCCCAACCACAAGCACCAAAGCAAGAACAAGCAAAGACTTACACCCTCCACCTGAGGTGAGGAGGACGCGGAGATGGAGACGGAGAGCTAACTGCCACTGGCCGCCAGGCGCCCGTCACAATGGGGTCTGCACGGGGTTCTGCGCGGAACGGGTTGCGCCACCACCCGTGTGGGGGGGGCTGCTCTGCAGCATCACAGCAGGGGGGCAGGCGCCCGGGACGGGCGTGCTGTGTGCTGTCCGAGCACAGACAGCAGGCGGCCTCTGCCATGTAGGGGGCTGCCAGGGGCCCCAAGGCACACAGGGAATGGACTGTGGTCCCGTCGGATGTGGGGTGTGGCCACTGGAGACCCCCTCGGGACAGCCTGCACCTGACAGTCCCCGTGCTCACGTGCGGACACGTGCACGAGAGACATGGATGTGTTCAGTGTGCGAGATGGGCAGGAACTACGCAACTCAAATGGAGAAAGGTTCTGGGTTTAAATTAAAAGGGAACCTGTCACACTCTGCCACCAAGATGAAACATGCTGGGTATCACCCAACAAAAAAAACTGGCTGGGCGCGGTGGCTCGTGCCTGTTCCTAGCACTCTGGGAGGCCGAGGTGGGAGGATCGCTCAAGGTCAGGAGTTTGAAAGAAAAGGTAAAGTCTATTTACCAAGCTATGGCCAGACTGGACCATACACGTGACCAAATCCAGGTCTAGCTCCTCATCACGGCACAGAAAGCTCTCTGGGGACATTGGTCTGGCCCCGCAGGTTTCCTGAGGGACAGAAGTCCCTCAGGTGTTTAGAGCTATGTTTATTTAGACAGGGAAAGGAGGAGACTGAAGGGGGGATTCCTTTTTTCTTACATAAATTGGTCGTTTCATCAATCTCGAAAACAGAACCATTAATATCATAACGAGCAGTACCGACACTTACTAATTTCAGGAGAACATATAGTTTCCTATACGTTCAAGCGAGGAGAGAAACAGGACGCGATTAATTCAATGTGACAAGGCTATTTAGGGCCCCCGTGGCAACCGAGACCAGGACAACACGCTGGTGAGGACACAGCAGTGCCACCTTCCGCCACAAGACTTATGTGGCGTATACGCTTCAACAAATCGTATTAATGTCCTTGGGAAACCTAAGTGGGCTGATAACAACTTAAGAAAAGCAATATTTTGGTGCAAATCACTCTTCCAGATTAAAAAGAGGAGGAAATCTTATGCAGTCCAGCCATCAGGACGAACTGCAGCTGGGAGGTGTGTCTGCCCCGGGATCGCAGGCGCAGGGAGGCGCATGTGAAGCGCATGTGAAGCTGAGCCTGCTGCTCACATAAATCACACACGTTCCAGCACAGGTGTGCGGTCATCCACTGCCACACCACCGGTGTCATGCAAGTACAAGAGTGTTCAACCTCATTGGCGTTCAGCCTGACACCTGCACGGTCTGTTCTCAGATAACAATTACTTCTTTTTTTTTTTTTGAGACAGTCTCACTTTGTTGCCCAGGCTAGAGTGAGTGCCGTGGCGTCAGCCTCGCTCACAGCAACCTCAATCTCCTGGGCTCAAGCAATCCTCCTGCCTCAGCCTCCCGAGTAGCTGGGACTACAGGCGTTAGCCACCATGCCCGGCTAATTTTTTCTCTATATATTAGTTGGCTAATCAATTTCTTTTCTATTTATAGTAGAGACGGGGTTTCGCTCTTGCTCAGGCTGGTTTCGAACTCCTGACCTCAAGTGATCCGCCCGGCCCAGCCTCCCAGAGTGCTAGGATTGCAGGTGTGAGCCACCGCGCCCGGCCACAATAACTTCTTTTCATCTATCTGAGGAAGACCTAGTCTGCAGACACTTCAAGCAAGTCTGAATAATTCAAAACTCAATTTTGTGTCTAATTTTTAACCATTCCATATAGTTCAACACAATATGCTTTTATTCTATTTAAGAAAAAATAAGTTAAAGTTTGGTGATTTTATTTCCAATAGTGTGAAAACCAGATTCTAAAAAACAGGTATTGCTTATGTAGCTATCAGCACATACTTATTTTGTGGCTACTTTAAATCATGCAATGATTACTGTAAAAATGCAACTCGGAAACTAAATATCAGCGGCATCACTTAAATGCCAAGAGCTGTCGTGTTTCTACTAATTCCAATTTTAACATACTAGAGAATACAGACTACTACAATAACCGAGTCATGTAACCATTAAGACATGAGTGCCATTGTCCGGAAAGTTAAAATTTCCAGTTACCAGCAGTGTAAGCCTATTGTTCGTATTTCCTTAGCTAGTTGCCCAGTGAGGTTTGTCAGCTCGGCTGGAATCAATTAAGGTGAATGAAGAAATACGCTAGCACTGAAGGATGAAGCCCCAGCCTTCTAGAGAGATGTTTGGTGGCTGCTCTGCACAGATCTCGCTGACAAGCGGCTTCTCCCTGACCACGAGGGCTGCGCACTCACGGCATAGTCTCCACTGCGCCAGGAACAGAGCTGGACGCACGAAGGGACTTGAAGAGAGAACTTCTTTCCATTAACTGTGAACGCCTGTTTCCAGCCTCGCATTCTAGGTTCTAGGGGAGTGAGCAGAATGTGCCCAGACTTGTCAAGTCTCTCGGAAGCCACAGCTCACGGGGCCTGAGCCAGGTGTGAGCAGCAGCCCTACCCCCAGGTGTGCTGCTGATGGAGCTGCCCCTCAGGACTCCTGGCTTGAGCCGAGTGTCTCTGCGTCTGCGGAGCACGGAACTCCCCATGTCCAGTTCCGACGGAGTCTCCGGCGCCAGCCCCTGCCGCCACCCTGGCCTCTGCCCCGCCACGGCTCACTCTCCACCTCCCTCTTCTCAGAGCGCCGAGTCCTCACCTCACGTCTCTGTGCTTGATTCCCGCCCCGCCCCAGCGGCACCTGACCAGCTCCCAGTGCCTGACGCTTTCTGCACCTGCTGACCCCGGGGGCAGCTCCGCAGAGGCTGTCCTCCCTCGCCGTGGAACCCCGGCCAAGAGACCAGTGCTGGGGCCTCTTCAGTGGCATAGGCCTGGAGGCTCTTCCCGCACAAGCAACCTCCTCGTGTCGTTGAGGCAGACCTGGCTGCCCGTCTGCTCCCTGGGGTGAGGGCGCAGCCTCAGGGGCTGACACACCTTCCTCGCCCCAGGGCACCCCGCTGGCCCCCGTCACGGCAGAATCTTTGCCCTGTCTCCCGCCACTGGTGCTCTGCTGTTCCCGAACGGGACACAAAGAGTGCTGGGGCTGACGCTCCTTGCATAGTAATCAGTCATTCCGAGCCGGCACCACACGGTCCTGACCCTGTTCTTTAGCAGTCATGCTACAGGACTTTGTCAGGACTTTCGTTAAATCCTCTAATCCTGATCCTGCCCTCCCAGGCCCAACCATGCCCACCACATAGAAACACACCTAGGGTCAGATACCAGCACATCCTGTGTAACCCACCTGCGGGTCACATGACGTCTGCCCCGTGCACGTGCTGGCCAGGGTGCCAGGTGGCTTCCTGCGCACAGCTCAGAGCCCCGGCACCAGGGCCTGTGCTGACACGACATCTGCCTAAAAACCTTGTCTTTGGGGCGCACGTGGCAATGTGCAAAATCAGGGTGGCTACACCTGCCCCAACACTGCTGGCGGCAGAACCTGCACTCCGACACCCCCTTCTCTGGCCGTGCCCACCCTCCTGCTGGAGCCAGCCCACTGCACTCCGTCCTGCTCATGTTCCAACACGGGACACCCAGGGAGTGAGGAGGACCTCACCACCACAAAGAACGTCCCAGCAAAGAGAATGCAACCACCTGGTAACAAGCGAGTCCACCACGAACAATCCAAAATCGCACACACCACAATTTTAACAGAGAGGACAACAGGGCTGGGTTTTTAAAAACCGACCACCTCTGAAGTGCTTCGGGGCAGTAAAACATGCATGCAGTGCTACAAACCCAGACGCAGCACGCCCCAGAGCACAACCTGAACCAGAGTTATTCAGATAGATGCATTTCCGTCCTCATCACGCCCCCTGCCCACTTCTACCTCACCTCCCAGTCACCAGCCATCATTCAGCAGCTGCTCAACACGGTCACACTTTTAAAAAATCACCTAACGTTCCACATCGCTCCCAAAGGGCGACGCTCCCTGAACCGGGGACACTCCGGCCACGGCCCGCACGTGTCTGTGGCCAACAGCGTCCTCAGGGTGTTTTCTGGGACTTACAGCAAACACTTCCCAGAAGGGGAAGGCCAGGCAACACCAGGCCTCTACGGAGGAGCGGCCGGGCCATGGGGGAGGGGGGAGCTCACTGCCATGAACCATGGGCCGACTACGCACACACGCCCCTCCGGGACAGCCAAATCCCATGCTACACAGAACAGGCTCTCTCAAGCTGCCAGCGTGAACAGCCGCACAGACGTGTCAGAGACACGCCGTCCACATGCACATGTGCCCCACTGGGGGGAAGGTGAGACTGCAACATACTCTTGGCAAAATCACTGACACCACCCATGACAGTTAAAACCCACGTGGCCTTGAACTCAGTGACCCGCTTTTGGAAACTGACTCCAAAGAGAAACGACCAGCAGCCACAGGGCATAACTCGGCTGTGCAGATGAACAAATACCATGATGCTGGAAGAAGATGTTTAATTTGTGATGACACTTTTAGTTACAAGTGGCAAAACCATAAGTGACCCAGAGCCTGCCTCAAACTGGCATCTCAGGCCTGTGCCAGCTCCCGTCAGGAGACCCAGAGGCAGGCGGGCTACGGGCTGAGCTCCCAGGAGGGCGACACTGTGCGGGGCCTTGGTGCCGTCCCTTCTTCCTTCTGGCGCGGCTCCGTTCCAAGGCCGACCACGGAACCGTCCACATCCAGAGAGGGAAGCCACGGTCTCTAACAAACATCCTGGGCCAGCCTGTCCAGTGTCCCTGGCTGGAGGACGGCAGAGGCGGGAACGTGGGTCTGAGTCACGGCCCGTCCCGAAAGCCCCTCGAGGGGAACTCGCCAAGCCGCGCAGGCCTACGGGGCCGTGTGGCACTGCGGGTGGAGTGGAGGCCACTCGGCTTCTGCGCTGACCGTGTGGGGCCACTGCTGGGCAGGGTCAGGGGCTCTCAGAAAAGAAAGGGGAAATGAATGGATGCATGATCACGGGC